ACTCGAATCATTCGAGGAATCGTTTCAGCCCTACATTTTTTTATATTCTCAGACCACTGGAGCAGAGTTCAACTATATTGTTCTGGAATGACTCAACAAAACACACCCGGCATTATGAATATCAGGCCTGTTGGATCTGTCAACAAGCAGCTACGTGGGCCGGCCCAACTCTTAAGAATTTCCGGTTTTGTTCTTTGCTGCAATCTGATTAAGGGGTCTGACTCTTCCTGAGTCCAGCCCCTTCAGGAAGTGGCTGTTTGCTGGAATAAGAGCGAGTGAACCCTGCATCGGCTCTCACTACTTCCTCAGTGTAGCTCAAAGGCAGGAACAATGTTCTACATCCTCCTGGTGCTGGGACTCGTCGTCCTCGCTTATATTTTCCGTCAAGTTGTGGTAATAGGAAAGAGCTGCAAGAGCAATGCAAAGCTGCATGGGAAAACGGTGATAGTTACAGGTAGGTAAAGTTTCTGCTTTGTAGCAATGATGTGCTTTAGGTTTTTGACCCCTTTCCACCTGCAGGCAGCAACACTGGCATAGGGAAGACCACGGCCATAGAGCTGGCTAAAAGAGGAGCCAGAGTGATCCTGGCCTGTCGCAGCAAGCAGAGAGGAGAAGCTGCTCTGCAGGACGTCAAGAGGGTGAGAGTCTGCTGGTCATGTCTTTGTTTCTCAGGAAAGCTTGGAAGAAAAGCAGCATGAAGCTGAACAATGAGGCAGGATTAGACTGAAAATAGAGGGAGAGTGACTTTAGTAAAGGTTTGTACAACAGCGTATTACGGCCGATGTAGATAAACTGTAGTAAATTTATGCTAAAAAGAAGTCTGAGATTGAGACCATGACATATTTTCTTAAAAAAAACAAACAACTAAAAGTCTTGAGTTTGAGACTCAAGACTTTGAAATGTGTTAGAAAAAAAATCTAGCAAATTTTCTTAGATTGATTTCAAAATTTTGATTTTATTTTGGCAGAAAGTTTTTAAAACATTCATTTAAAAGGTTTTATAAAATACATTTCCTCTAGGGAGGAATACATAAGGACACCCAGATATTCTCATATAAAAAGGGCATATTGATTTATGTAATGTGGTTAGATCATGACTCATCACTTTAAAGGAGGTTTCCCCTGTTTAAAGCTCAGACATTTAACTTGGTGACTAAGTGACATGAACACTATGGTGAGATTTAAAGTTGAATTGGGTCTTTAGACTCAAAATAAGTTCAAATCAGTCATTTCCCTGAACAGAAAATAGAGGAGTCTATTCAAAATTATTCAATCCTACATGGCCTAATCAGCCCATTTAAGCAAATTCACCCTGCAAGCGAACCACAGGATCGTAAAGGAAGACTTCAAAAACACATAGATGTTGTCACGTAGCCTAAGGCTCTTGCTGCTGTTTGTGAAAATTCATTCCTGTACAAACAGAAGGTTGCAACACAAGTTAAACTGCCAAGAGAGGAAACTTTCACTTTCTAACCAAAGCATGAAGGCCAAGCTAAACTCTCTCTCTCTCTCTCTCTCTCTGGCATGTAGGCAGAGAAGTAACAGTTGTTGCCAAATATTAGCTGACTTGTCAATGTCTGTTTCAGGAGAGTGGCAGTAATCAGGTGGTGTTCATGCAGCTGGATCTGGCTAGTTTTAAGTCGGTCCGCAGCTTTGCAGAGAACTTCCTGAAGACAGAACCCAGACTGGACATCCTGATCAACAATGCAGGTAGGAGTTCTCGCCTCAGCATGTTGCAATTTCAGCAAAACCATCAGTAAACCCTATACTTTATATGCACTGTGTCACAAATTCACAGTTGATATGTCAATATCCAGAGCTGGGTAGAGCAAGCAAAAATTGTACACAAGAAAAAGTAGCACCACTTCAACATATTTTTATTCAAGTAAAGGTTAAACGTATTCATAAAACTTACAAAAGTTATGAAACTAACAAAAACTGCAGGCGTGTGTCTGTGTCTGGTGAATTTTTGGTTAAAACATGTTTGTTTTTCATTCCATGGGCAGAAAATCCAGAAATTTGGTAACGCAAGAGTAGAAATACTTCATAATAAAATTACACAAGTAAAAAGTACAATGTAGTAAAAATATTTCCAAAAGTAAATTTTTTTCAAAGTAAATGTAAGAAGTTACTACCCAACTCTGTCAATATCTATATGGTGTATGAAAGAAGACTTTTATACTGTATGTAATTATATTTTGGGGTATTTTGGGACATCTAGCTGTACAGCAGAGTAAAAAAATAAATGCAATCTTTAGTAAATTATCAATGAAGTAAATAAATTAATCTCATATAGAAGTATCCAAGAGACCTGCGGTAATCCTGGAGGACCTGCAACGATCCACAGAAATGTCTTATCTTTAAGAGAAAAACATGTATTCCCGTCCCTCTGTTTCATAATTAAATGTTACTTTGTTTGGTTCTATTGAAAAATGGGAACTGATATTAAATATCAATGTGGTTTGTCCTAGGCGCATGATACACAGCTCTACATCACGATGTCACCAGGTGACTCTGAACCCATCCAATCACTGAACAGATGCTTAGATCAGATAAAGGTGTGGATGGGCCAAAACTTTCTCCAGCTGAACAGAAACAAAACTGAAGATATTATTTTTGGACCTAAAGAGGAGCGAACTAGAACCAATGCACAGCTTCAGGTATTACAATTGATGACCAGCAATCAGGCCCGAAACCTGGGCCACATTAAGACAGTCACAAAGTTGGTCTTCTATCATCAGAAGAACATCTCCAGGATTAGAGGACTAATGTCTCTGCAAAATCTAGAAAAACTCATCCATGATGTGTTAATCTTTAGTCACATTGATTACTGCAACAGCGTCTTAACAGGTCTGTCCAACTAATTAAAACAGCTGCAGCTGATCCAGAACGCTGCTGCTCACGTTCTGACTAAAACCATTAAGATGGAGCACATAACACCAGTTCTACAGTTCCTACACTGGCTCCCTGTAGCTCAGAGAATAGACTATAAAATACTGTTAGTTTATAAATCACTGAACGGCTTAGCACAGGGGTGGGCAACTCCAGGCCTCGAGGGGCGGGCTCCTGCAACTTTTAGGTGTGTCTCTACTTCAACACACTTGAGTCAAATAATGAGGTCGTTAGCAGGACTCTGGAGAACTAGACTGCACTTAGGAGGTGATTCAGCTGTTGGATTCAAATGTGTTGGACCATGGAGACCTCTCAGAGTTGCAGGACACCGGCCCTCGAGGACCAGGATTGCCCACCTCTGGCTTAGCTCCACAATACATTAAAGATCTGCTGCTGTTGTATCAACCTTCCAGACCCCTCAGATCTTCTGGTTCTGGTTTACTCTGCATCCCCAGAACCAGAACCAAATGACAACAGCATTCAGCTTCTATGTACCACAAATCTGGAACAAACTTCCAGAAAACTGCAAAACAGCTGAAACACTGACTTCCTATAAATCTATACTAAAAACCCACCTGGTTAGAGTTGCTTTTAAACGTAATCATTGAAACATTAATGAATAATCAAATGTGCAATAATGGCAAAATGTAATGTTGTTGACTGTGTGTTCTATGACTTTGTATTTTTGTGTTTTTATGACATAAAGCACTTTGAAATGACTTGTTGCAGAAAGGTGCTATACAATAAAATTTGTTTGATTGATAGGTCTCCACATATTTGACCGAACAGAGGACGGGTTCGGGATGACGTTTGGCGTCAATCATCTCGGTCACTTCCTATTAACCAACTTGTTACTGGACCGGCTAAAGGAGTGCGGACCAAGCAGGGTGTTAAACGTGTCATCTACAATGCACAATGTGGGAAGTATCGACTTTGACTGTCTGAACACACACAAAGATCTGCGGAAAGGGACGTCTATTTTGGATGGCATCAGAATTTACAGCGACAGTAAGCTGTGCAACGTTCTCTTCACTCACGAGCTCGCCAAGAGACTGAAGGGAACCAAGGTCACTTGCTACTCCATCCATCCAGGTAAGAACCAATGCAAGTGGATTGTGTTTACAACAAATGGTGGATCTCAAAGGCTATGTTTGCACTGCAGACTGAAGTGACCCAAATCCGATATTTTGTGGAATGTGATTGTTTTGGCGTGGTCGTTCACACTTCAAAATATATGCAACTTGTATGTGATCTCCGGTGTAAACTGCAAACAACTTTGAAAGTGTCCCGCATGCGCAATAGACGGCACATAACACAGAGCGTGCTCAGTGTTTTGCCAACCGCCATAAAAGAAGAGTAAGAAGTGCTTAGTGTACATGGATACTACCGGGGGAGCGCATCTTACGATTTTGAAGTTTTTGTCCGACCGGTGCCAACACTTCAACAACTTAATCCTCGTTATGGAAAAATATTAAAGATTAATAAAAGGATGAGATAGAAACTGGTCAGTGAGATTGCCAAGATTTCGAAAGCAACATTGAAGGAGCTTCAGAAATTGTGTTCAACATGTAACAACAGTCTCCTGTAATTTTCACGTATAATAAATAAAGTTATAGGAAAGAATCGTTTTTCCTCCAAGAAAAACATCCAGGCCAGACTAAAATCTCCTCAAACTTTGGCTGAGAATGTTTTTCAGTCTATTGAAACTAAGTTGAACTCTCAGGACTTTTTTATTTTCGGAACCGAGGTTTCTGTCAAAGTGAATAAAGTGAATAATTCCAAATGTCAGTCGGTGTTGAACTCTGTCAGTCTAGAAAGCTGAAAAGGGAATTCATTTGGCAGCATTGGAGCAAGTCGAGGAATAAAAAAAAAGGGGAATCTAAACTAAATCTAAAAGAAAATCACACACGTCCACGAGTCATGTCCTGGCTTGTGGACGAGGATGTGGAATGCAGATAAACTCATTCAGAATAATAATATCAGCTTACCAATGTACCTACTTCCCCAACTCGACTGTTTTAAAGTTGTGGCAATGAATTGGAAAAGTCATCGAATGTTGCTATAGCTGTCATTTTGGCAATCCTTCCAAACAAGCCATGTTGTTGATTTTGCAGATTTTGTCTGACCTCAAGTTAATCGTTTCTTTCTTACTTGAATGATTTCCACTGCTGTCCAGTACTAAGAAACAAAAGTGCTTCAAATTACATACTGTACAACATGACCATACAACTTCTAGCCACACAGGAATTAACAAAGAAGAGCCTCGGTTGTTTACTTTGAAAGACCAGGTAACCACAAAAGACTTTGTGTTCTCATAGGGGGCGTCAAGACTGAGCTGGCCAGGAACACAGACGCGGCCTCTCAGATGATTCTATCGAACCTTGGAATATTTTTCATGAAGACCCCGCTCCAGGGAAGCCAAACTACGCTGCACTGCGCCCTGCAGGAGGGCATCGAACACCTCAGTGGGCGCTACTTCTCCAACTGCACCGTGAGAAACGTCTTCGCCAAAGCCAGGGACGATGCCGCCTCAAAGAAGCTGTGGGAGATCAGCGAGAGGTTCTGTGGCATCTAAAGTGCGTTTTATTGCTCTTTAATGTTGTTCAAATAAAATCTATTATTTCGTAAAGAGTATAAATATGCTGTTATCAACCTGCTCCTTGTAAGATATCTTGTTGGTCTCAATGTTTAATTTACAATTCTTGGGGCCTATCATGCTGGCAAATCACAGAATTCACTCTTTTGTATAAGAGCAAAGTTGAACGCCTGAGTTTGTTAGAACATGGATACATAAGAGAACATCAACGAAAATGGGTCCACCCATTTTCAACAAAGAAAATGGGTGGACCCATTTTCTTTGTTGAAAGAAAATGGGTCAAAGTTTACACAGCAATTTAAGCAGCTAAAGGGAGACAAGTATGAAATTAATTTAAATCTGTCACATTTTGCAACTATTATCTGCACATGTGCACACTGCTGAATGAGCCTTGTATTGTTAAGAGAACATATAGAAAACATACTTT